GGTCGTTGTCTTGTTGGAACCCCCATTTCAAGGGCATTTCCTCTTCAGCATAAGGCAGCATGACCTCTTCAAGTATTCTGATGGATTCAAACTGATCCATGATCCCTGGTATGCGATAAATAGGCCCAACACCGTAGTATGAGGAACATCCCCATATCATGATGCTTGCACCACCATGCTTCACGGTCTTCACAGTGTACTGTGGCTTGAATTCAGTGTTTGGGGGTCGTCTGACAAACTGTCTCCGCCCACTAGACCCAAAAAGAACAATCTTACTTCCATCAGTCCACAAAATGTTGCGTCATTTCTCTTTAGGCCGGTCAATGTGCTCTTTGGCAGATTGTAACCTCTTCAGCACACGTCTTTTTCCCAACAGTGGGACTTTGCGGGGACTTCTTGCAGATAGCTTGGCTTCACATCGGCGTCTTCTAATTGTAACAGTCCTCACAGGGAATGTCACACCTTCTTTCATCTTCCTGGAGCTGATTGTTGGCTGAGTCCTCACAGGGAACGTCACACCTTCTTTCATCTTCCTGGAGCTGATTGTTGGCTGAGTCCGCGCCATGTTGACTATTCTTCTATCCATTCCAATGGTAGTTTTTCGCTTTCTTCCTTGTCTTTCAGGTTTTGGTTGCCATTTTAAAGCATTTGCCATCATTTTAGCTGAGCAGCCGATCATTTTCTGCACTTCTTTATATGTTTTCCCCTCCAATCAACTTTTTAATCAAGGTACGCTGTTCTTCTGAACAATGTCTGGAACGACCCATTTTCCTCAGAATTTCAGAGAGAAACGCACTGTAACCAGCATGTCCAACATTTGCTGCCTTCCTTCCTTAAATAAGGGCAATAATTGCCGCCTGTTTATCAAAGAATGAATGACCTCACTAATAGAACTCCACACGGCTATTATTGTGAACACGCCCCTTTCAATGAGTGATTCAATGACACAGAATCAGCAGCATGCATGTCATGACTGTTGGGTCTGTTGGATTTCTATGACTCTACTACACCTGCTAGGAAATTATTTGCCATGTAGAAATATCATTTCCACAAAAACAGAGATTGATCCGGTTAGTGATGTCTGACTGCTAGTATTTTCAACACAACTGTATATGTTACGGGTTCCAAGTGGTATACCGGTATCATTTTTTTCGGCTGTCTTTTATAAAAGCCATCTGAGCAGCTGGTTAGCCACTGGATGGCTTTTACAGGCAGTGGGAGAGGTCACTGATGACCAACCCCCCCCGCTGGTGCCTCTCCAGGATGACCTCTATGATACAGGAAACCGGAAGTACTATTGTCACTACCGGTTTCCATGGATGAAAATAGCGCCATTTTTGAAATGGGAAAGCGTCTGATCACACCGACCTCGGTTTGAACAGATACTTTTAGGGCAGAGGAGAGGTCCCGGGTTTAAATATGATCCCAGAACTGTCCGTAAAGAGTACCTGTCACTGCCTATTGCGGTCACAAAAGAGGTTTACATTCCCCCCGCAGAAAGAGCCTGACATTGACCAAGAACACCCCTGCCCTCCACCCGAGCCTTCCATTACCACTGCCCCCCATACACCAGCCACCATCCCCCATGGCGAAAGAGAGAAGGTCACTCACCTTCACAGCTCCGGACATCCCCAGGAAAGAGAGTCGGGCTGTGCATACACCGTCATGAAACCCGCAGCCTCTCTCGGAACCCACCAGGTCCCCATGCCATATGTGTCTCTTCTTCCAAGGGGCAGTGCTGCCCCCCCTGAAAAATGCCGCCCTAGGCAAATGCCCTGTTTTCCTTGTGGTAAATACACCCCTGGCGTAAACGGCGATCGCACCGCACATCTGAGGTATTGCTGTGAGTGTCAGAGCGAGAGCAATAATTCTAGCATTTACCTGCTCTGTGTACTGGTTGTGCACAGTGCAGCCCCAATTCTCTTCTCGAGTCCCCCCCCCGGGCGCTTCTGGCTCCTCCCCACTGAACAGTGCCCCCACAGCAAGTCGCTTGCTAAGAGGGCACTGGTGCGAGCTCACCCCAATCTCTCTCCACAGGACTTGGCCAATGGCTCCCAGATATAGTGAATGCGGGGTCTGGGAAGACCAGATATAATGAATGCCGGGTCCGGGGAGAGCGAATATAGTGAATGTCAGGTCTGGGAGAACCAGATATAGTGAATGCAGGGTTCGAAGAGAGCGGATATAGTGAATGCCGGGTCTGGGAGGACCGGATATAGTGAATGCCGGGACTGGGAGGACCAGATATAGTGAATGCAGGGTCTGGGGAGGACCAGATATAGGGAATGCCGGGTCTGGGAGGACTGGATATAGTGAATGCTGGGTCTGGGAAAACCAGATATAGTGAATACCGGGTCTGGGAGGACCAGATATAGTGAATGCGGGGTCCGGGGAGAGCGGATATAGTGAATGCGGGGTCCGGGGAGAGCGGATATAGTGAATGCGGGGTCTGGGAGGACCGGATATAGTGAATGCAGGGTCCGGGGAGAGAGGATATAGTGAATGCGGGGTCTGGGAGGATCGGATATAGTGAATGCCGGGTCTGGGAGGACAAGATATAGTGAATGCCGGGTCCGGGAGGACCAGATATAGTGAATGCCGGGTCCGGGAGGACCAGATATAGTGAATGCCGGGTCCGGGAGGCCCGGATATAGTGAATGCCGTGTCCGGGAGGACCGGATATAGTGAATGCCGGGTCTGGGAGGACCGGATATAGTGAATGCCGGGTCCGGGAGGCCCGGATATAGTGAATGCAGGGTCCGGGAGGCCCGGATATAGTGAATGCCGGGTCTGGGAGGACCGGATATAGTGAATGCCGGGTCTGGGAGGACCGGATATAGTGAATGCCGGGTCCGGGAGGACCGGATATAGTGAATGCCGGGTCCGGTAGGACCGGATATAGTGAATGCCGGGTCTGGGAGGACCGGATATAGTGAATGCCGGGTCTGGGAGGACCGGATATAGTGAATGCCGGGTCTGGGAGGACCGGATATAGTGAAATGCCGGGTCTTGGAGGACCGGATATAGTGAATGCCGGGTCTGGGAGGACCGGATATAGTGAATGCCGGGTCTGGGAGGACCAGATATAGTGAATTCCGGGTCTGGGAGGACCAGATATAGTGAACGCCGGGTCTGGGAGGACCAGATATAGTGAACGCCGGGTCTGGGAGGACCAGATATAGTGAATGCGGGGTCTGGGAGGATTAGATATAGTGAATGCCGGGTCTGGGAGGACAAGATATAGTGAATGCCGGGTCTGGGAGGACAAGATATAGTGAATGCCGGGTCTGGGAGGCCCAGATATAGTGAACGCCGGGTCTGGGAGGACCAGATATAGTGAACGCCGGGTCTGGGAGGCCCAGATATAGTGAACGCCGGGTCTGGGAGGCCCAGATATAGTGAATGCCGGGTCTGGGAGGCCCAGATATAGTGAATGCCGGGTCTGGGAGGACAAGATATAGTGAATGCCGGGTCTGGGAGGACAAGATATAGTGAATGCCGGGTCCTGGGTTTAGTAACACTTTAACACACTGACGGTTATAGCATGCATGCCTATCACACTGTAACGGATTGGAATGATCTGAATGAGCCCCGAAAAGAAGGCCCCATTTTCAGAGAGAAATGCCCTGTAACCAGCATGTCCAACATTTGCTGCCTTCCTTCCTTAAATAAGGGCAATCATTGCCACCTGTTTATCAAAGAATGAATGACCTCACTAATAGAACTCCACACGGCTATTATTGTGAACACGCCCCTTTCAATGAGTGATTCAATGACACAGAATCAGCAGCATACATGTCATGACTGTTGGGTCTGTTGGATTTCTATGACTCTACTACACCTGCTAGGAAATTATTTGCCATGTAGAAATATCATTTCCACCAAAAACAGAGATTGATCCGGTTAGTGATGTCTGACTGCTAGTATTTTCAACACAACTGTATATGTTACGGGTTCCAAGTGGTATACCGGTATCATTTTTTTCGGCTGTCTTTTATAAAAGCCATCTGAGCAGCTGGTTAGCCACTGGATGGCTTTTACAGGCAGTGGGAGAGGTCACTGATGACCAACCCCCCCCCGCTGGTGCCTCTCCAGGATGACCTCTATGATACAGGAAACCGGAAGTACTATTGTCACTACCGGTTTCCATGGATGAAAATAGCGCCATTTTTGAAATGGGAAAGCGTCTGATCACACCGACCTCGGTTTGAACAGATACTTTTAGGGCAGAGGAGAGGTCCCGGGTTTAAATATGATCCCAGAACTGTTCGTAAAGAGTACCTGTCACTGCCTATTGCGGTCACAAAAGAGGTTTACATTCCCCCCGCAGAAAGAGCCTGACATTGACCAAGAACACCCCTGCCCTCCACCCGAGCCTTCCACTACCACTGCCCCCCATACACCAGCCACCATCCCCCATGGCGAAAGAGAGAAGGTCACTCACCTTCACAGCTCCGGACATCCCCAGGAAAGAGAGTCGGGCTGTGCATACACCGTCATGAAACCCGCAGCCTCTCTCGGAACCCACAAGGTCCCCATGCCACATGTGTCTCTTCTTCCAAGGGGCAGTGCTGCCCCCCCTGAAAAATGCCGCCCTAGGCAAATGCCCTGTTTTCCTTGTGGTAAATACACCCCTGGCGTAAACGGCGATCGCACTGCACATCTGAGGTATTGCTGTGAGTGTCAGAGCGAGAGCAATAATTCTAGCATTTACCTGCTCTGTGTACTGGTTGTGCACAGTGCAGCCCCAATTCTCTTCTCGAGTCCCCCCCCCCCCCGGGCGCTTCTGGCTCCTCCCCACTGAACAGTGCCCCCACAGCAAGTCGCTTGCTAAGAGGGCACTGGTGCGTGCTCACCCCAATCTCTCTCCACAGGACTTGGCCAATGGCTCCCAGATATAGTGAATGCCGGGTCTGGGAAGACCAGATATAATGAATGCCGGGTCCGGGGAGAGCGAATATAGTGAATGTCAGGTCTGGGAGAACCAGATATAGTGAATGCAGGGTTCGAAGAGAGCGGATATAGTGAATGCCGGGTCTGGGAGGACCGGATATAGTGAATGCCGGGACTGGGAGGACCAGATATAGTGAATGCAGGGTCTGGGGAGGACCAGATATAGGGAATGCCGGGTCTGGGAGGACTGGATATAGTGAATGCGGGGTCCGGGGAGAGCGGATATAGTGAATGCGGGGTCTGGGAGGACCGGATATAGTGAATGCAGGGTCCGGGGAGAGAGGATATAGTGAATGCGGGGTCTGGGAGGATCGGATATAGTGAATGCGGGGTCTGGGAGGACAAGATATAGTGAATGCCGGGTCCGGGAGGACCAGATATAGTGAATGCGGGGTCCGGGAGGCCCGGATATAGTGAATGCCGTGTCCGGGAGGACCGGATATAGTGAATGCCGGGTCTGGGAGGACCGGATATAGTGAATGCCGGGTCCGGGAGGCCCGGATATAGTGAATGCAGGGTCCGGGAGGCCCGGATATAGTGAATGCCGGGTCTGGGAGGACCGGATATAGTGAATGCCGGGTCTGGGAGGACCGGATATAGTGAATGCCAGGTCCGGGAGGACCGGATATAGTGAATGCCGGGTCCGGGAGGACCGGATATAGTGAATGCCGGGTCCGGGAGGACCGGATATAGTGAATGCCGGGTCTGGGAGGACCGGATATAGTGAATGCCGGGTCTGGGAGGACCGGATATAGTGAATGCCGGGTCTTGGAGGACCGGATATAGTGAATGCCGGGTCTGGGAGGACCGGATATAGTGAATGCCGGGTCTGGGAGGACCAGATATAGTGAATTCCGGTTCTGGGAGGACCAGATATAGTGAACGCCGGGTCTGGGAGGACCAGATATAGTGAACGCCGGGTCTGGGAGGACCAGATATAGTGAATGCGGGGTCTGGGAGGATTAGATATAGTGAATGCCGGGTCTGGGAGGACAAGATATAGTGAATGCCGGGTCTGGGAGGACAAGATATAGTGAATGCCGGGTCTGGGAGGCCCAGATATAGTGAACGCCGGGTCTGGGAGGACCAGATATAGTGAACGCCGGGTCTGGGAGGCCCAGATATAGTGAACGCCGGGTCTGGGAGGCCCAGATATAGTGAATGCCGGGTCTGGGAGGCCCAGATATAGTGAATGCCGGGTCTGGGAGGACAAGATATAGTGAATGCCGGGTCTGGGAGGACAAGATATAGTGAATGCCGGGTCCTGGGTTTAGTAACACTTTAACACACTGACGGTTATAGCATGCATGCCTATCACACTGTAACGGATTGGAATGATCTGAATGAGCCCCGAAAAGAAGGCCCCATGGTACCAAAAAACATACAAGCACTCGATAGCCTCAGCGGTTGTTCTTCATAATCTTCTGCGGTGAAAAGTTGGCGCTTTACACATTCAGCTTACGGCTGGGAACTTGACATCAAACTGAATGTATTAGGAACGTGATTGTGGTCAGAAGATGCCACGGATGAGATTGTCCACAGCAGCTGTTGGGAAGAGAAGCACGCCGACCACCCTTCTACAACATGCCAGGTTTTCACGAAATGCCTGTTGGAAGTAAACACTCGCCGCCTGTGATATTAATAAGAAATCATACAGAAGAGTTCCTGATGCAGGGCCAAAGACTTGGAAGGGCCACACACCTCCAGTGGAAGAGCGTGGTTCTACAGCAAGAATGGCAAATGCCAGACATAGCTGCTGGTTTACATTTAGTACAGAGGAATTTTCAGAAGTGGGAGAGAAGAATAGCACAGAGATCTTCAGGTCTACAGAGACAGCTGGAGAAGAGACAGCCGAGATGAGGCACAGCTGACTGCGGACAGGTGCAACCATCGGCCCCTATGATGGAGAGACGAGAGGAGACAGACACAGGCTGATCGCTATGTGGATCCGGCTAAAGGCGGAGAAGAAGACGCTCCGGGAAGACGCCTCAAGTGGTGCGATAACATGACCAAGAGTAGATGAGAGAAGGAAGAGCCATGGTGAGAGGTCCAGGCTGTGCTGCATGAACAAGACACAACAAGGTCATAGTAGTCACAAGTGTCCATACGGCACCCCTGGGCTCATGCCTATTGCTGGAGAGTGAAGGTGAGCGATACTGAGAGACATTGACAGGTTCTGGTGAGACGAGAGGAGGTACAAAAGCCCATCAGTGAGATGAATTCCAGAGATGCCGGAGTGGGGTGTCTAAGGATGGGTCAGAGTCACGTTAGACCAGTGGTCTCCAAACTCCAGCCAGCGGGCCAGATGTGCCCCTTTGCTTGACTTTATCCGGGTCTTCGGACACTGTTCATCCCACTGACACCAATGATGGAGCACTATTCCTCCCACTGACACCAATGATGGGGCACTATGTTTCCACTGACACCAATGATGGAGCACTATTCCTCCCACCGACACCAATGATGGGGCACTATTCCTCCCACCGACACCAATGATGGGGCACTATTCCTCCCACCGACACAATGATGGGGCACTATTCCTCCCACTGACACCAATGAGGCGCTATTCCTCCCACTGACACCAATGATGGGGCACTATTCCTCCCACTGACACCAATGAGGCGCTATTCCTCCCACTGACACCAATGATGGGGCACTATTCCTCCCACTGACACTAATGATGGGGCACTATTCCTCCCACTGACACCAATGATGGGGACTATTTTTCCACTGACACCAATGA